CTGCACAGGAGGGTGACTATCAGATTTTTGAATCCAGATTGTAAGTACACCCCCCCTCCCGGTAGGTTTGTGAAATTCAAACAATTGCTAGACGACCAGTCGTAATTTGAGGTCTACCTATGTGGGAATGAAGATAATCTTTTCATATCAGGTTCCATCCATTAAATAAATCAATCACATCAGGTAATTAATTCTCCTGAAACATTGCCACACTTATTTGTTGTGCCCACCCAAGGCTTTGTACGATTTAACTTCTTCAATTAAAGAGGTCACAATCATTCACACAACCAAGGTGCTTGTGAAACTTGCCTTCCTGCTCTATATCAGAAAAATGTAGACAAGTTTAAAAGAAACAGAGATTCAGGCTCTTACACTTTCTCTGCTTCAATGAATCAGACTCCAAGAATCTCAAGTGCAAAAGAAAGAAAAAGAAAAGAAGTGCTCACCAAGCATCTAAGGAACACAACATCTGTGGCCAACAAATGCTTTACCAACAGATCTGTGTTGTTTTATCACAAAGATGAACTTTACTATGGTGATTTTCTTTCCTATGAGAAAGTACTGCAGGCTCCAAAATCCAAATAGTCCATTAAAATCATGAACAGGGAGCAACTCGCAGCCTTTTGCCATATCTAAACATTTTGAAATTTCATGCACATTGAAGCCAATGAACTGCTTTCAGTTTATTTTCATGGAATTGTCATTAAACCTTCACTATTTAGTTTGGGGTTTTTTTTTGCTATTAGTGCAACTGCGCTTTTGTTTTCTAAGGTCAAAAATTATTCAAGTTTCCTTCCTTCCTTCCTTCCCTCCCTCCCTCCCTCCCCAAATGACTCAAAATGAAATGTAAATAAACTACCATGATGTTATGACTGTAACTGAACTGTACCTTAAGTGGGATAGTTTTTTTTAAATAGACATTGTTAAAAATGTGTAAAAAGTTTAAAGTCGGCAAAATGAGGACCCATATTGTTGGGGCCAATGTGCTGACTCTGTAAACCACTTTAGAGAGGGCTGTAAAGCAGTGTGAAGCGATATATAAAGTCTAAGTGCTGTTGCTACTTGCCCTTCTGAATCATTTAATTCCTACAGGATGTTAACTGTCTTAATATTGGTTTAGTTTCACAGGCAAGGGGAGAACAAGGCCCACAAGGCCCGGCAGGCCCCCCTGGCCCCAGAGGCTTCCCAGGACCTCCAGGAGAACCAGGAAAATCAAGCTATGGCAGCCAAGGGCCTCCAGGACCTCCAGGACCCCCAGGATTTTCAGCGGCGGGAAAGCCAGGAACCGCAGGCTTGCCAGGAAGACCGGGAGACAAAGGATTCCCTGGTGAAAAAGGAAGCATGGGGCCTGCTGGTCTTCCAGGGCCAAAAGGTCCCCCGGGAGCTCCTGGTCCTGCAGGAATTTCTATGGTGGGGAAGCAAGGACTCCCAGGACCCCAAGGACTAAGAGGCATCCCCGGGGAAAAAGGTCTTCCAGGCCCTCCTGGTATTAAAGGGCAAAGGGGAGAAAACGGGCACGGGGTTCCAGGCCGCCCAGGGGAGAAAGGCCTGCCAGGGCCACAGGGGCCTCCGGGACAAGCAGGGATAGGAAGGCCTGGGGAAAGGGGGTTTCCAGGGCAACCAGGTGTTAAAGGGGACAAGGGTTTACCTGGCTTACCAGGCCCAGTTGGACTTCCAGGTCCCCAAGGCTCTCCCGGGAAACCTGGAATGCCTGGAAAAGGACTTCCTGGCTCAAGTGGGTCACCTGGCCTCCCAGGAACCCCTGGGGCAAAAGGACCTCCAGGTCCACCTGGCTCAACTGGGCCCTCTGGTCTCCCGGGGTTTGGAAAACCGGGATTGCCAGGGATGAAGGGAAACAGGGGGCCTGAAGGACTCCCTGGCGGTCCAGGAGCTAAGGGAGAACAAGGCCCAGCTGGTATTCCTGGAAGGCCTGGACCAATCGGGCCACCTGGGGAAACAGGTCCTCGAGGGCTAAGAGGGACCACTGGTGGCAGTGGCAGACCCGGGCTCAAAGGGGAAAGAGGCACAACTGGTCCATCAGGATTCCCAGGGATAAAGGGAGAAAGAGGCTTGCCAGGATTGGACGGCAAATCAGGGAAGCCAGGGTTTCCTGGATCCAAAGGCCATCCAGGTGTGGCAGGATCTAAAGGAGATCTAGGCCCCACTGGGCCAGCCGGTTTACCTGGACCAATGGGCTCACCAGGACCCAAAGGTGCAGCAGGAATCAGTGGTGGGCCAGGCTCTAGGGGATCACCTGGTATACCTGGTATAAAGGGACCAGTTGGTCCTCCAGGTATTCCAGGACTCCCTGGTGGCAAAGGGGACCCAGGTGCACCGGGATTACCAGGTCCAGCTGGCATTTCATCGAAAGGCACAGATGGACCGATGGGACCACCTGGACCACCAGGTCCCAAAGGCTATCCTGGAGAGCCTGGATTGCCAGGCCCTCCAGGCCCACCTGGTCTTCCAGGGCAAGCCCTGGCAGGGGTGCCAGTTATAAAATCTGGTGCAACTCAAGGTCTCACTGGCAGGCCGGTGTCCGCTTTCACTGCCATTCTCTCCAAAGCTTATCCTGCCTCTGCTACTCCTATCCAATTTGACATAATTTTGTACAACAAGCAACAACACTATGACCCCAGATCAGGTATCTTCACCTGCAGGATACCGGGGCTGTATTACTTTGCTTATCATGTCCATGTCAAAGGCACACATGTTTGGGTTGGCCTGTACAAGAATGGCTCACCCATCATGTACACATTTGATGAGTACAAGAAAGGATACCTTGATCAGGCTTCTGGAAGTGCTGTTGTTGATCTCATGGAAAATGATCAAGTCTGGTTACAGCTGCCCAACAATGACACAAATGGCCTTTACTCTTCAGAGTATGTCCATTCCTCCTTCTCAGGTTTCTTATTTGCACAAGTATAATACTCAGCATAAGAGAAAAACGCATCCAGATATATGTGTACGTACTTCTACATATACAATGGAATTAACAAAATTACACCCGCATACAACATTACATTTCTAAAGTTCATAATGCATATGATTTTAAAAAAAATATTCACAAGGTACAATCATGCTGTATGGAAACACTGAGACATGCATTTTACTGGCCCACATACTGAAAAGCTAATTAAGATTATTTCTACCATGATTATTCCCCCCAAAAGGGCACCACTATCAAAAACTCTTTTCATAGATATGTAGGTGGTAATGCCACCAAAACAAACAAGTGTGCATAGCTTTAAAAATCAGAATCAGAAAAGACAAGAAGTGCAATATGTTGTGTTAATTCTATAACTCTCAACATTTTCAATGAAATATTTGCATCACAAAATGAACCCATTTGGTTCCATGGTACCCCAGGTGAGCATCTAAAGTGGTAATCATATCCAAATGTGCAGGTACTAGTAATGGCTGATCATGAGTACTGTAGGTATATTTAATGCTAAATTGACAGTATTATAATCCTCATAAAATATTTCAATATTACCCTTTACAGAATGTCTGTTTACATACAACATTCAGAGAATGATACAACTACAGCTAAGATAATGTTTAAAACGTTAAACCTTATGGAGTGTGAATAGTTATTAATAACTAAATGTACCACTGTGCGGTCTACATTTCATCCCACAGCAACATCTTGATTCCAAACCATTTGTATGAAATCAATATAAATGGCTTGTACTGTGTTCTAAAGCCAGCATCTTACAGTTTGTTCTAAAAACTTCTAGTTGTATCTGTCCATTTTGATTTAAAAAAAATCATAAATAAAAAATGAAACATTTCTTTCAATTTGTCTGATCATTTAGTGAATTTAGTGAAAAGATAGTGATAGAAATAATTGTTATCTATCTAATTTTTATCAAAATAGAATTTAATTTCTTTCAAAAGGTATTGATACAAATAATTCTGTCAATTGTTTTTACTGCATTGTGGTGTTTACATTACCCTGGGAATTTCTGAATACAGGTTTTAACAGGTTGAATATATACATTTGGATACAGAAGAGTTCAATCTTGTGCTGGATTCCTATTATGTCAAGGAAAGGCAGGAGGATATTTACAAAAGCAGGGAAAAAGTGAAAGTGTGTAACAATTCGATGCTGCAAATTTTTCATGTGGCTCATCCCATAATGCCCGCAAAAATATTTCTTTTTCTCTACCTAACACATAAACCAAATTTCTAGTATTAGCCTTGCAAAGTAGTCCAGATAAGAACCATGAGCACTAACTAGCTCCATTTTTATTGTAATATTACATTAACAGAATCTTGCAATCTGAAAATATCCTTCCTTTCATTCATGTTTACATTTTCTCCAAGACTAGGGAAGGTCCCTTCTGAGATGCTTTTATCACCTTTTCTTTTTCAGGCTCAAGGTTCTCTTATCAGACCATTGTCTAGCTAGGCCAAGGGTCTTCAAACTTGGCAAGTATAAGACTTGTGGACTTCAACTCCCAGAATTCCTGAGTTAACATGACTGGAGGAGGAATTCTGGGAGTTGAAGTCCACAAGTCTTAAAGCTGTCAAGTTTGAAGACCTCTGGTCTAGGCTATAGCTCTGTCTCCTGACTCCCATTCCCACAAAACAATACACCCAGTTCTTTGCAGATGTAGGAAGGTTTGAGTAGTTTCATATTCTAGGCACCCACAGAACTCGTCTTATTTATGTCTGACTTCCCCTCTAAGGGCCCCCTCCCACAGGATAAGCCAGAAATTGCTCCTCTATTATTTACAAGTGGCTTACCCTGTCAGTGTTGGTGGGGGGCGGGGTCTTTGAGGTTCTTTAGTTGGGCTTACTGGTAGCTTACTTGGCAGTTCCTTGACTGGGGTATTGTTTGCTGCTTGATTGCTATAATTCCAATTCAATCCACATCAATGTATTTTAACTGTGAAAAAGCACGCGCATTATGAAGGGCCAGTTACATTTTGACAGGTACATGAAAAGCACCTTCAACAAAGAAACAGCCCTTGAAAGACAGGGAAACCACTCACCTTTAAAAGCTGACGTTTTATAATTATACTGTATGGCAGCAACCATATCCTTCCAGAAGTCATATTTTCTCCTAGGGCTGTGCTGCAAGCATAAAGAAACCCCATTGCCTTTTTAATTGTAAGCAGTTTTTCCAGCAAGCAGTAAGAAAATAAGGTAAGACAACCACAAGCACAGTCTGAAATACAATGCAGCCACGTAGGGTTCTCTCATGCAGGATTCCAGCCAATTCCTTTTGTATTCATTCCATCACCCTGTTTCTGTTCTTCCCCCAACTAACTAAACATGCATGGTTATCAATGACATGTTTGGGAACGTCTCCCTTTGAACACACATTAAAAAAATGACTAATTAATATGTAGGACTGGATTCACTCATGTGATGCAATGATGTGATTATGCCCTTTCATTATTGCATTATTGACTTGATTTTTTTTTTTTTACTCTTCTCTTCCTCTTGAACTACCAATTCCCTGCATGAAACAGTCATTTTAATATTTAAAAACACAAAAGCAAAAACACTATTTCCATCACATGAAGGGAATCTTATGTAAAACTGATTCCTCACAGGCAACACTACAGTACATAAATGATGGCTGCTGATCATTACAATGAATCCTATCTGTTTACAGATGGTTGTTTTGGGAAACTCTCTTCTTAATGATGCCTAACATGAACATAAAAGCCTTGCTTTTCATGGGGGTCTCTGGATGAAGCAACATGGGCCCACTGGCCTCAAAAAGAATATGGAAGACAATATAAATAAGGAATAGGCTTAATAAATTTTGAGACTTGATCAAAAAATTAAAATCATTTCATTTCACGCTTGCCATAGGACATGCTTCCCCTTATCGGACCTACATTTTTATCTATCTTTTCAGGTTTTATACAAAAGGAGGAGGAAGAGGAGGGGTGGGGGGAGGAGGAAGAATACATTTGAAGCAATAATGACAAGTTAGTAGAACATATACAGTAATAAACACACTAAAAAAAGAATTTGCCCGCTTAGTCCATAAAGCTTCGTAACAGGAGATTCATTAGGGCTGAACCTAGAAATGACGACCGAGTTTCAGGGATAAGCCAATAAACAGAATCAGTGCCCTATTTATAGGTAGGGCTGTCTGAAACAGAAACAGAGACAAGCATGGACACTATTTACTTCCCTAAGAAAAGAAATGAATTCTTTCAGAATTCTGTAGATATGTGATTCAGTTCTAGCTAATTGCTGTGACTCACTGCTGTAAAGCAAGGGTGAAGAATTTGATCCCTGAAAAAATGTTCAAGCTTCATGTAACATGTGAGGAGTAGGAGAAGAAGAAGCAGGAGGAACATTAATTGAAATGTATCTCCCATGAGCTCCAAACCTGATTGGTACTTACTTTGTCTAAACCATCCACAATCCGTCCACAAAGAAGTGATCCAGGCAGATCAAAGTAATTGTCATAGGCATAATATTTAGCTGCAAAGACAAGAAATTGAATTCCTTATTAGATACCTAGTGGACAAATCAACATTTTTGTGAGAATGAATTACTATTTATTATAACAATACTGATATCTGCAAAATTTCCCTTTGTATCACAAGTAGGATATTGCTCGATACATCAAAATGTTGGAGAATCATACAGTTAGAATTGCCTTCCAATATCACGGTAGGAAATCAAACTTTATATATGACTTCTGGGATGTGTTATCTATTTCTAGGAGGTTAAGTGAGGGAAAAGTCTGGAAACACTGTTTTTTAGTGCTGGAACTAGACTTCTGGAATAAACTCCTATTAAAGATTTGTCAGTCTCCCACAATGTCTGCTTCCAAAACAGCTGGAGCTTTTCTGAAGGCTATTCCCCTCTTTTTTTTAGAAAGAAAAGAAAACCCTCACAACTTTTATCCATCTCAGGCTCTCCCACTCATCAGATCATTTCAGACTATGTACAGAGCAAACTTCAGCCTGACTTCTTCATCAGCTTTGAGAATAAGCTTTCAAACTCTTACTTATATATTGTGAAGTTTCAATAAATCTTCATAAAAAGAAAACTTCTTAGTTTTAATATTGTGACACATTAATTATAGGAAAAATATATTTTTGGGGTCCTTGGTGCTCTCTGACTTTGTTCTTTTCTCAAAGACCTTTCATTACCAAACTAAGTAACATCATCAGTGCTAGTAAAGAGTGGGGTTTGCTCTTATTTTGCATACTAGCGGTTTGCCCTGTCAATGTTGGTCATAGTGGTCTTGGTGGTTCCTTGACTAGGCTGTTGTTTACTGTTAGCTTGTTTGACAGCTCCTTGATTGGGGTTTTGTTTGCTTCTAGATTGTTGGTCTAATGTATAATTCCAACTAGAGAAAATATACAAAACCATCAATATCTTCAAAGGAATAAAACTAGGGAAAAAGAAAACAACATGGTAACCTTCCTGGCACTGCCAGCAAATTAGAAACACAAGTCTATTGTAAAACCACCCATACCAACCAGGTGCTCCACTACCAAAGTAACAACCCAACCTTCCACAAAATAAGCTGTGCAAGAACACTATTTATATGAACACAAACATATTTCAGCAACCTTGAACATCAGAAAAGGAAACAGGTCACCTATACAACATCTTCCAACAGAAAGGATATCCATGCAACTTCATCAAAAAGTGCCTGACCAACATAGCACTATCAACACAAGTTGTGAAAAAAATAATGCTGCCCTACATCAAAAATCTCAGAAACCACCAACAGGCTATTACAACTACATTGTCTGACCGTACACAATGAATAAACTAAAGCCTCCAAAACATCCTAAGTAGACCAAAATACCCCCATCCCCAGAAGAAAAAAAACAGACTAATCTACAACTTACACTGTAAGGACTGCAAAAGCCACTATGTAGGGCAAATAGATAAGAAAACTGGCAGAGCACATCTATGAACACTAACTAGTATCAGAAGCCATGAAGAAAACTCCTTAATTCCACAACACATGGATAGACTTAACTATAGTTTTAAGTGGAACACTGTGAGCATCCTAGATCAGGGGCCTGCAACTTTCAACACTCAAAGAGCCATTTGGACCAGTTTCCCACAGAAAAGAAAACACAGGGAACAAATAATTTAACAACCAGTGTGACTGCGTGGATGTGGCCAACTTGACGTCACTCACTCCCACCCAGTCACATGACACCTCCCCAGCCATGCCTACCCAGCTGCTCTCTCTCTTTCATTTTTCTTTCTCTCTTTCTCTTTTTCTTTGTATCTCTCTCTCTGTGTGTCATTGTCTCTCTTTCTCTTTTTCTCTTTCTTTCTCCCTCCCTCTCTTTTCTTTTTCTTTCTCTCTCTCTCTCTCTCTCTCCCTCCCTCCCTCTCCCCCACTCCCCAACCACACAACCAGAAAATAACTAAGGAAATTCGGCCATGTTGTCTCTGTCTCTGTAAAGATACAAAAATAAACCTTGCGTTGCAAAAAGAATGACTGTCAGGCTGTTACATCACAGCGCCACAAGGTTGCTGCCTTAGATCTCTGAACACACTTCAGTGAAGCATCATTGCAAGCAGCAGCACACTCACACAGACACGCATACGCATCCTACAACTTGGTCCAAAGTGGCCAGAAAATATAGTCCCTGGGCTATAAAGATGCTTGGCAGGTAAAGTACAGGACAACCCCCATCACCAAGGCAGCGTCCGCTGATTCCTTGCAAAACTGGGCAAAGGTGGAGAGAGGGGAGTAGACAGAGCCGAATCAAGCTGAATCTGTCTCTTTTTCTCTGTCTCTCGCTCTCACTGCCCGACTGCAGCAGGAAACAGCAGATGGCTACTTCCGGCCTTGGTTGATGCTGGACGTGCGACCTATTCTCTGCCCTGAGACAATGGCATGCCCCGTGGCCAATGCTGCTGCTTTGCCAGGGGCGAGTGGGCCAGAGTCACATTGTGGCTCTGTGTCATAATGGGCTCCAGGAGGAGAAGAGGACCCTCTCTCCCCCATTGTGAAGTGTACTAACTTTCACGATGCTGCGCAAGGCACAGCGAGAGCAGCAGGAAGGCCATGGAAAGCAACAGCAGCAATGTTAGTAGTTGTAGCAGAGGGCTGAAAGAGCCACAGGGTTGCCAACACCCATCCTAGACCAAGCCAAGCCAACAAACATTAGAGAATTCTTGGAAACCTGGAAATGAGACAAATCAGCCATCAACAGGCACATAAACAAAATCTACGTGAGGCAATTTAAAACGAGGCAATCAAAAACCCAAAAGGAAGAAAGAAGACCAAAACACCACCTCACCTGCCATGAAGACTCAGATGAACAAAGTTATATCAAGATTAACATTAGACCAATAATCAAGAAGCAAACAATATTCTGATCAAGGAACTGCCAAACAAGCTAACAATAGCCCAGTTAAGAACCACCAAGACCACTCCTATCAACACTGACAGGGCAAGTCACTAGAATATAAAATGAGAGGAAACTTTACTCTTCATCAGCACTATGATGTTACCTAGTTTGGTAATGAAATGTCTACAAGAAAACTATCAAGTTAGTAGAGCACCAGGTATGCCACAAATACAACACTATAGCATCAACCTCTTTTATAGGCCATGTCCATGTAATACCTGAACGAGAAACCATTCCACTCATTGTCTTAAAGTGTTTCCACTCCCTCCTTTCATACTTCTCCAAGATCTCTCCAGAGGTCATACGTTTTGTGCCATGACTTGCCCTGTTTAAGGGAAGAATCAGATATGTTATTATCTTTTATGTTCTTTGATTTCTTTCTTTCAACATTATAATGTAAATGTTAAAAAAGGATCATTTACAGATTAAAATTGACTGCCTATAAAATAAATGAAACCTATTTGTAAAAGTATGTCTCTTATTTACATATACCAATTATTGTCTCCTTCTCACACAAAATTTTCGTCATAGAAACACATGCACCCTTCCTCCTTCCAGTAGTACTAGCAGAGAAGAGGAAAGCAAAATATGGATTAATAAAAGGCAGTTGGGCTGGATAAGAAAGGGAAAAGCAGCATTGGCTGGAGATAAACCGATGGGAAGGTGGAATTGAACAGGCAAGGAAAGAAAAGTAAGAGGATTTATTTAAGAATTTTGAAAGATTTAACTATATTAGGCAAAACAACCTTCTCAAGGAATGGCTGCTCTTTAAAAACATCAATGATCTTTAATAGTGATGTTTGCCATCATTCACAATTCATATCACCAGTATGGGATCCTACCTGTTCCACTACAGGTTCGGTGATTGTGCGTACACCTAACGCACACACACCTAACACACATGCACAGCTTTCCACACACCAGCTGAGGCCTACATTGCTAATCAGCTGAGAGGATAAAGAAGAGAAAAGCGCAGGGGCAAGTGGGAGGACCAATCTTGTACTTTTCTCTTCTTTCTCAGCTGATGTTTTCATCCTCTCAGCTGATCATCAGAGGCTTTTTTTTTACTACCAGTTCATCTGAACCAGTCTGAACCGATAGTATACCACCACTGCATATCACTCTTTGCTTTCAGTGATACTTGCTATTATTTTGATAATTGCTTTGTCTACTTAGTGACAGCACTCCTGGTCCCAACTGCTGTTGTAACCCAAGGACTGCTTCTATTAGAAGTCATTATTATTATGATCAGTTAAGTGGGCGTCAGCCTCCCCAACCTGGTGATCTCTAGATTGCTCAGAATTACAAAAACAATACTAGAATCATGACATGATTGATACGAAATAGAAATTCAAGTCCTGTGGCCTCAATATATAGCAGAGGAATGATATGATTGTACTTTGAAAACAGAATATTGTGAGAAAGTTAATAAGCTGTATAACATAAACTTTTGTCAAGGATTTAAATGTTACCTCAAAATGGTTCCATTATCTGCAAGTTTAAGAAAGTTCCCTTCTTCCAGGTCCAGCACCAAGCCCTTGCAGCTGTGCGAGTTCAGGTTCATCAGTGGAAGAGGAAAAAGAGGCACATTATGAGCAAGCTTCAAAATACACAGAGATGCTGTAAACTATGGTACAGACTGTGGTCTTAAATGCCACAAGGGCCATAGAGATAATCAGGGCACTTTAGTGTTAGATGATCTTAGCATAACTTGCACAATGTGGGAAAAGTGCAGGTTTCTAATCAATACAATCAAGAAACTGGATATTTTGGAAAATACATGGACAGGCCAAAGAAAACCTATGGCCTTTGACTTATTGACAAAACCTTTTGCAAGCCATCAAATTAGACCTCTGCCAAACTGATGTATCCCTTCCAATCTCCAGTCTGCTGTGTACCACTACCCTCATTGTCGTCATCATCATCATCAATTCACCTAAATTGTGTATCTAATGCTCCTACCTCCAATTTTCTCCACAAAAAAAATGGATTGGGCTGAGAGAGAGTAAATGACTTAAAGTCACCAGCTGGCTTTCATGGTAAGAGAGGACTAAAAGCATACAAGTCTCCTGGTTGCTTGTCCAACACTTTAACCGCTAAATCCAACTAGGTGGAGAGTAAGATTAAAAATAAATGTCAGAAAGAGAAAGAAAACAAGAAAAGGATGGTTGACTGGAATACCCTCCCATGCACTCTATTCCTATAACAACACAATGAAAAGGAAGGGTGCTCTCATTCAGTCTTGTTTAAAGGCTGCAGAGAAAGCTTATTTATTTATTGCAAGGCAGGCAGAGAATGAAGGTAAAGAAAATCCCAGCTACTCAAAGGATGGGATGAGAATCCATGCTCATTAGAAATCCATTGTACATGCTGAATTTTTAGTATAGCAAAATCAGAGAAACACCCAGGAAGTCAAGGTAAATTTTGGCTGGAGAAAATAGGGAAGCAGGATATACCCAACAATATCTCCCTACAGCTGCAATCCTATTTGTTCTTACTCTGAATAAATTATATCAAACTTAATTGGGTATACTTGCTTCTGAGAGACTGCTCGGTTTAATACCTTTTAAATACAGGCCATCTCCTCTTCCAGAAGCAACTACAAAGGAAACTGAAGGTAATTAAGAAAAATCACTGACCAGAAATCCCAGTTTTCAGGCATCACATCCAGAAGTTCCTTATCGTATCCTTTTTGTTTCACCATATACTGAGCGAAGCTGTCATATATAAGCTACAAATTAAGAAAAGAAGTTTAATGCTGTGCAAAATTATATTGAGACACTATTCAGGATCACATTCAGGACCTTATGAGCAACAGAAATAATGTTCTGTATGTAAAAACATCAGCAATGTAGATGAGCTTTTAATGATCAACATATTCAGAAATGTCAGGATTCTACCCTCAGGGTATTCTAATCCTAATGGCAGCTGAAATCAGTTCACAGTTTAAAATGGAGTATTATATATACATAGCAAACTGGTTAAAATACATGAGCCAGGGCTCATTAAATAACCATGAATGTAATTCCACGTACGGTTATTTGTTTCATTACTTTTCACAAACCCAGGAATGTGTACTGTATGTGAAACCAAGCCCAACCTAGGACTTATTCTTGTGTAAGAATGCATAAAATCCGATGGCTGATTTAAGAATCATGCCATCATCTAAAAGAACTGTAGAAGTTAGATTACAGAAGTTCTATCTCTGAAAAGGGAACTCTCAGCATTATCTTTTCCAGAGTTTCTCTTTTAGGAAGTCATGAAATCTGAATAGCTAGAAAAATATATTAGTACTGGCGTAAGGGCAGATTTTATTCTCTTTATTTATTAGATTTTGGGTGTGATGAGTTTCTTGATATAGGCGCACTTGAACTGCATATGGGTGATGGCACTCTAACTTTCATTAGATCTCTGGAACTGCTGCCGCTCCTGCAATCTGCGGAAAAAGCTACCCATCCTTAGCCTTATCTAAGAACAGAAGAGGGGTTGAACTTCTATTGCAGAGAGACACTTGAGCACTACATGAAGAAAGATATAGTTTTGCTTGTCTGGACATTTATGTACTGATTTAACAAAAAGAGGAAGGAAGAGACTGGCAAAAAGACAAGTTTTCCATTTTACGGAATTAAAACTTCTTTTCCAAAATTTTATATATAAAACATTGCCACACTTGCAGTGTGTCTGTAATTAATTGCATTAAATATCTTGCATTAAAAATAAAAACCTATTACCCTAACATAAATAAAAAGTAAAAAAAAAAAAACAGAATATACAATTTCCAACCAAGGTACAGTAGTAACACTCAGAAACCAGTTTGGAGACATTGGTAGAAGGCCAATGTTGCCTTGGGAGTAAACGTCATAAACTATAATGCAATTTCCGAGAGAACATAAATTTTGAAAGACTATTATCAAAAGCCTACGCGTATCTACTCGCAACAACAAAAATTCCACCGGGTTTGGTAGGAGTTACTATTTGGTGAAAGTATATAGAAGCTTGTAATATAAATAGCACAATCTTAGGCATTCCGAAGTTAAGCTCGTTGCTTTTTCATACGGTGCAGTTTAATTCCGGGCATAATATGCGTTTTGGACAGAACGCAGCCGGAGTGGAGGTGTCCCATCCCCAAATTATTGGGTCTCCTGGAAAGGCCGCTTTCAAGCCGGGCAAAAACTCTTTCGTCCCTTTCCGCTTCCTGAAATAACGCTAGTCGGTTCCCCTCCTCCGCTGCGGGCTTTACCGCAGCTGCTCAAAAAGATGTCAGAGCGCCGCTCGCAGCGGGCAGGAGTACTCGCAGTACAAACCTTGGGCTGGGCCACGCTCGCTAGAACCCTAGATCTCCTCCTCCTCCTCCTCCTAACCTGGAGTAGCCACAGAGCCAGTCCGAGGCTTCCTCTGCGAACCCCTGCAACCAAGCGATCATCGTACGGGCTTTCCCCAAGGTTATTTCTCTCTTGCGCGGGGTTGGGGGTTGCTGGACTGTGGCGGCCATTCGAAAAAGCCTAGCCGGAGCTAAATCCGGGCGGCCTGCCTTCCAACTGCGCCACTCACCCGGGCGCTCTCCACCAGGTTGTAGCGACACAGCGTGTGATCCAGATCGAAGCCGATCACTTCGCAATCGGCCAGCGAGAAGAACTGGGCCATGGCGGCAGCGGCAGTGGCGGCGGGAACTAGCAAGCGCGCGGTTTCCTTCCCGCGTTCCGCGAGGAAACTGCAGCTCCGGCTCTGCGTGAAGAACTGGTGATGCGACGGCAGCGGCCGTTTCCTGCAGAGGCTGATTTCTCGTCTTGCTTCGCCTCACCTTTCCTTTCCTCCAAGGCCTGGAAACTAGAGAACCGGCGATGGCATTCAGAGCTAGAGTTGAGCTGATCGTATTACTTCCAACTAGCACGAACTCCGCGAGTTTTGGAAGAGAAAGTAGCTGAAACGCTGGTCAGGGTTTCATTTGCAAGCAGAACCGGGTTTAAATGTTCATTGCTGGAGTAAACGGTGCATTGGGCAGGATGCATAGCCCTCGATTCATGACAGACCTTTCAGATAAGCTATACCTCATATTTTTCCACTTCAGAGTAGTTGAAAATTGGAAGAAGACCCTTGAAGCTTAGCTTGTTCCTATCTGCCAAATTTACCCAAATAGATCACTGGTGTTTTCTTGTTCGTATTCACAACCAAAATTCAGAAGTATACTATCATCCAACAGTAATAAAAATGAAGATGTACACTTAGAATGAACTTTTTACTTTGCTAGTTGACTTGCGTGTTGCGAGTAGAAGATTTAAAATTTAATTTTTTCTTGACACATTTTTAATGAGTAACTCAAAACATTTACTCATTTACTCATATGAGTAAATGACTTACAATATATAAAATGCATTCTGCAACAGAACAGTTAACAGTCAACTAGTAAACACCATTACCCCAAGTAAGATCTTATTGTCTAAATGCCCTCTGGAAAAGGATTGTCTGCCATATTTGTGAAGGGCAGAAGGATGGGACCACACAGACTTCAAGAAAACTATGCTTCAAGTTCAGAGAGGGGTCTGCTATTAAGAATATTGTTCTCTGGGTCCAGTCACACAGTCTAATCTTTTGGGCACCCAGAACACTTTCTGCTAAATTATATAATGTAAATTTTACCTGCAGAAGATAACTTGAAGGTAACGTTGACCACCAGGACCTTGAATGGGGCCAGAATCTATTGGTAAGCAGTGCAGCTGCTATAGAACAGATCTTGAGTTAACCAACTAATATTGGCAGTCAGATGGGCAGCTGCATTGTGTGCCAAGTTGTCTTCAATGTCAACTGTGTGTACAATGGAATTGACAGAAACATCCAACAAGTTGTGCTTCTTGCATTTGGAGACTGAAATGCTAAAACTGGAAATAGGAAACAAAAAAATGTACTTGGACTGTGTGATCTAGGAAATACAAATGAAATATAACCACTTACTAATTCCTGGTCAATTCAGTTATTAGTGCTTCATTGCCATCACAATTTTCAAACAACCAAAACAATGGCTATATACATGGCTATCACCAGGCAGAGCCCACAGAAATCTTAACTGATTTTAATGCCTGTAAAGACATTAAAGATAGAACCAAGACCAGAAAAATATTCCAAATGATTTCCAGTCTAAGAAATAGGTTCCAACCTTAAATTGGTATTCTAAAGGAATATCAGTGGACAGTAGTGACTGATTCAAAGCAGTTGAAAGAAAAATGATGAGAGTACAAAAATTCTGTCCAGAAAATCTAAGATACTTCAGAAGATATTTACAAGAACCTTTATTCTTGTAAATAGGGAATATCTTCTAAAGTATCTTAGATTTTCTAAGGAATTAATGTGTTAAGAAGATGATGATAGATCAGCATTCTGATCATTATGAATTAAGTGGCTACAGGAATTGATGGAATATCCATAGAAATATGGCAAGCAATGGAAGAAGAATCAGTAAAGCTAACCAAACTTCCAGTAAATCTGGAGAACAGTAGTGGCTAACTGGAAGAGCTTAACCTATATATCAATTCAGAAAGAGAGAAAGAGATTTAGCAGATTGTTCAATCTATCACATATTTTCCTTAATTTCACATAGCAACATAATGTTTAGGGCAGTGGTTCCCAACCTTTTTTTCGCCCCGCACCCCTAAAGAAATTTCACTTGAACCTCGCACCCCCTGAAATTTAGACTTTAGGAACTACTGAACTTGTTAAATATATGGTAGGATTGAATCTTTTCAGCTATGTATGCGACGGCCACTAAATAACAATACTTAACTCTAAAATGAAAACAAAGTTAATCCATTGCATAATAAATAAAAATGCCAACATATAGCCAATATCCTATTATTTACCTGGACTTTTCTCGCACCCCCTGGAATATCGTCTCGCACCCCCAGGGGCTGCGAGCACCCCAGGTTGGGAACCGCTGGTTTAGGGTTATCTAACAGATTAGGGCCCTACATGGAAAAAGAAATGGCAGAAGTTCAAAGTGATTTTAGAAAAGCCAGAAGTGCACGAGATATTGCTGAAGGATGCCCAGACAACTGAAGAAGCAAAAAAGAAGAAAGAAAAAAAGAACGAATAAAAAAAGAGAAAAAGATTTACTGATTATACAAAGGTCTTCAGTTGTGTTGACCAAGTCAAACTTCAGAATCTCCTTTGGAAAGTGGAAACTTTGGAATATTTTCTTGTTCTCATTTGACACCTGTACACATGTCAGAGAGTCATAGTTCACTATGGTGAAACAGACTGGCTCCAGTTTGGCAAATGAGTAGGACAAAGCTGTATATTCTTTTTGTTCAGTTTATGTGTTGAATATATATTGAGGGAAACTGAAATAAAAATTGGAGGAAGAAATGTTGTTAGCCTCTGCCATGGTGATGACACTAGTCTGATAGCTGAAAATGCAAATTATTCACAAGCTGTCATAATAAAAGTCAAGAAGTGCAGTAAAAATAGTATTCAGTCTAAAATATAAACTGAACCAGATTAATGATAACAAGTGCAGCAACCACCTTTAGAACTGACAATTAAGTGCTAAATAGCTTCTGCCTTTTACAATTTACTATCAACAGCAAAGGGAACCAGCAGTCAAGAAATATGCTACAAAATAACACTTGGCTATTTTTTTTAAGAGTAGCAATGCAGGCCTTGGAAAAAAATACTCAAATATTGCGATGTGCTTGTACCTACAAAGATCAGATTTATGTAGGCACTGGTGCTCCTTGTGGGTAATTATTGGAAGGAAGGATACTTGGATTTTAAAGCAGCAGGACCAAGAATATATCAACCTTTTTGAACTATAGTATTGAAAAAAAGACTCCTAATAATACCATGGACAGCCAAGAAACGGATGGATCATCAAACAAATCTATCCAGAGTTAAAAGTACAAACGATGAAGCTCAAATTACTATATTTGGGTATCAGGTGAAGATCTATATCCCCTGAGAATTCCATCATGCTGGGAAAAGGAGTAGAAGAAATAGGCAGCAGCTCCAGGCTCAATTACAATGGTGATAGCTGTGTAGTTGGTATATTTAAGAGCCAGTTTGGAAACATCCGGGATAAATCTTAACCATGTCATTTCTAAATATATTTTCACTAATACTGGTAATCAATTAAGTACTATCAAGTAATTTTATCCTGGATAAACCTTATCTAGGATAAAATGATTTGATAGTACTTGATTATTGATGAAAATAAATTTAGAAATGGCCATGATCTCTTCAACGTATTCTGGTCCAGAAAAGGAAGCAATTGGAGGAATCTCCTGAAACATCAAAGGGACTCCCCACCATGGTTTCCACCACTGTTCTAATAGGAGCCAAGGGTCCAGGATAAACTCAAGATTGCACAACATTTCCTTCATGGGAAGTGCAACTCCACATGGGACAATAAACATCTACGATACAACAGTAACTTCATGTTGCTGTTATTCAGCTGCAGAATACATCTGTTGTGGTCCATTGGCAGCCTGCGGAGACAGCAGCAGAGTCGGACAGTGGGGAGGAACATAGGCCAGTCCAGGAGTCTGGGGAAGAATTGGACGAGGATCCTGCGTCTGATATAGAGATGGGGCCAGGGCTATCTGGGAGTTATGTGCTGACTCTATAGCCTCCAGAATCTTATAGCAGTGAGGCAGAGGAGCAAGGGGAGCCTATTCCCAGTGTGCATATACGCAGAGCTGCCAGAAGGCAAGAAGTTAAGATAAATGGGATAACTCAGGAGTAAGGCTTGGAGGTAATTGGCCCTCCCATAAGACATAAAGGAGGAGCAAAAGGACATGAATCTTTGCAGAAAGCAACATTGTTCATACTGGTCGGTTTGAAACCTGAAGCTCAATGTTGAATTTTCGTTCCAGTTTGGCCTTCTGTAACTAATTGGACATTTAGTTGTTGGCAGCATTTCAAGGAAAATAAAAGTGCATGCTTATCAGACTTATCTTGAAGTACTTTGGCAGACTTCCATGGGACTATTTACAAACTGTTTGGGACTGGTGGGCTGTGAGTGATTAAAATTCACAGCCGTTGAAATAAAAAGGTTTTGGGACTAACGTGTTTATTAGTGTCTCCATAAGCCTTGGTCAGAATAGCATATGCAATGAAGAATAATGCTTCTGTTGATTACTCCATGCCAGGCAGCCGCTAACTGGACGTGAATCTTGCTGGAATAGCTTGAGCCCAACATTTAAATAGCTCTACCATAACTGGGCTACAAAAACCCAGATTACCACTTGATGGCAGCAAAGAATGATTGGATTTTGCAGATCAGATACAGTAGTCAGATACTCAGAAACAGATCAGTGGTCAAATACCATTTTGTAAATAGTTTACATACTTTAGCTACGCTCTACTTTTTGCAGAATAAAATCCAGCAAATGCATTTTAGGCTAATTAATGAAACATTAAAATCCCAATCCTCTGACATTTCACTTGAGGCGGAGATAAAGATATAATTATGAGTCATATATTCAATGACATACTTAATTATATGTTTTCAATTACAGGCCTTTATATAATAGGTTATTATTATTATTTGAATGAATGAATGAATAAATGACAAAAGCTTAAATACCCTTAAGACTGATAATGGGATGTATTTCTTCTGCGATGTGATAAGTGTTTGTTGGAAACTGAACAAAAAGAACTAAAAAAAGCCAATTTCTTCAAAAGAATATTAGAACACTCAAATGAGCTAGCTTATTTTGCTTATGATGCCAAAACTTTCGTTTCTTTTATTTTATTTATAAAGTTTATTGGCCACCCATGTTACCACAGGTGTCTATACAGATTCTTAGTCATACAGGTCATGGTTGTCCCAAAGGTGCTTTTTCAAGAAGCAACTGGACTTTCCGGAAATCAGGAAGTCCAGTTGCCTCTTGAAAAAGCACATTTGGGATCTTAGCACAAGGTATCTCTGGATGGCTTATAATCATGAAAGACTGTGTGTGTGTGTGTGTGTACACACACACACAGACACACCCCTGAATTGAGGATAGCAAGACGGAAATATATACTCTATGTTTGTGCTACAGCCATCATTTATGTCATCTCAAAGGTCAAAAGCAAAATTGCATGGACAAATGCAGAACCTTTATATATAATCAGCAACTCGGGCCTTAGGCAAAAATTTAATTTGAGGAATTTCTGGTCTCCAATAGCCTAGCCTTTTATCCCTCAGCTTACATTTTTA